CCTGAAAATAAAACCCTGAGATTGCATATCGGGAACACAGCTATCCATCTCCATACGGAGACGTTTGTATAGAAGGTACTGGATCTGGGGGTCCTCCTAAATTGAGCTTAAAGTGGTTCTAAACCCCTACATATACCTAGTGAAGTGACAGGTGATACACAGAGATGAAACAAATCCTCCTACATAAGATGTACCTGTTTATCTGGAATATTCCCTTCCATATTCCCTTCCATATTCCCTTCCATATTCCCTTCCATATCCCCCTTCCATATCCCCCTTCCATATCCCCCTTCCATATCCCCCTTCCATATCCCCCTTCCATATCCCCCTTCCATATCCCCCTTCCATAGCCCCCTTCCATAGCCCCCTTCCATAGCCCCCTTCCATAGCCCTTGAAAGTGCAGAATTTATAAAGCTTGTAGAGCTGTCAAAAAAAAAAAAAAATGGCTGAAGTTACTCTGCAGAGCTCAGTAAAGAGAGCTCTGAGAGCTGATTGGAAGAGGGAATGGACACACCCCTCCCTCCTTCACACAGTAGACAGGAACAGAGCAGAGGCTGTCAATCTGGTAGAGCTCCCTCCCCTGTCACCATTTTTCTCTTGGTGTCAGGAAAACGTGTCAGAAGTGATTCATGTTGATAGCAGAGGAAGGAAGCAGCAGGCAGAACTGACACTTAGTGCTCTGGATTGAGGCAAATACACACTATAGAGGGATATGCTTTGTTCATATTTCATGTCTGAGGTTTACAGTCACTTTAATTTCTAACTCCCATTTTTAATATCTATTAGGCAAAGCTAAAACTGCTGAACTTACAGGTGCGCTTGCTGGTTGTGCTGCGTTAACTGTGTATAGCCTCAGCTACATACAATATACAGTGCTGTGCTCCGGCAGTGGGACAAGGACTTCCTCCCCCAACTCCTGGAACAAAAATAGCATAGAGTACTACTCAGCCATTCACAGGCTTTTGAATGAGTACAAACCTTCCTCTGATTGGCTGAGGTGGAAATCGTGACATCGTCTGCCTGCTTCTACGCCTCAACCAGTCAGCGGAAGCTTTGCATTCATTCATAAAATACAAAGCTTCTTGTGAATGGCTGAGCATCGCTCATCCCAACTCTGTTTTTGTTCTGGGAGTAGGAGGTGAGGTCCCCCATCCCACTGCCAGAACACAGCACTGTGTAGCTGAGGCTAAATACAATTAAAGGATACGTTCACCTTTCGTAACATGTTACACTCATACTCACAAGGGCCGGCCCCTGATCCTCCTTTTTGACAGCCTCCTATTGACAGTGCAAAGTCCCGTCCCATTGACTTCAATGCAAGAACGCCTCTATTTATGTTTTTTAATTTTATGTATATATTACATTTTATTTTCTGTCCGCCTCTATTTAAGTTTTTTATTTATATTTATATATATATATATATATATATATATTACATTTTATTTTCTGTCCGCCTCTATTTAAGTTTTTTATTTATTTATATATATATATATATATATATATATATATATGTTACATTTTATTCTGTCCGCCTCTATTTGTTTTTTTAATTATTTATATATATATTACATTTTATTTTCTGTCCGCCTCTATTTAAGTTTTTTATTTATATATATATATATATATATATATATTACATTTTATTCTGTCCGCCTTTATTTGTTTTTTTAATTATTTATATATATATTACATTTTATTTTCTGTTAGTCTCTATTTAAGTTTTTTAATTATATATATATTACATTTCATTTTCTGTCCGCCTCTATTTAAGTTTTTTTTAATTATTTATATATATATATATATTACATTTTATTTTCTGTCCAAGTTTTGTGTGCTATTTTCAATAAAAGTTTATTTTACGTTACTGGATTGTGTTTTTTGAATTCTTATTCATTTAAATTAAGGATATTCATAAAAAATTCGAATACAATACAATTGTAAATAAAAAATTTATTTTAAAAACTGTTCATTTTTGGTTTCGCATTTCAGCCAAGTGCATCCTGAATTTTCATTTCGCTGCACCACTACAGTGTAATAGTTTGAACCGGCCTGGCCCAAACAAGCTATTTAAAGGGGCGTCAGACGTGGAGTTGGGCTTTAAGAAGTAAAGTTACTTTATTGTAGGTGTACATTGGCTTCAGTTGGGCTGCTCTCCAGCACAGGACAGCCAGCTTGGGGCATCTCAGAAGGAGCCCAGGAACAATAGATGAAGAAGAGGGTCCCAAAGTACATTTTCAATCTAACATTAAAAAAAAAAAAAAAAAAAAAGGCAACTCATTTCAGGAGCTGTGCCCCCTTCATCAGGGCTCAAGTTGAAATTAATTTTCTGTTTTTGCTAATGGCTTCTGCAGCTAATGTGTTTTTTTTTCCAGACCCTTCAGGTATCTCGCTGCCTCAAGTTTGAATCTTGCACAGAGAGAGGTTACAAAGCACAGGCTTGATGGGGAAAATCCCATCTGCCCCACATGAGCGAGAGGTTTCTGGTGTTCACTGAGATTTCAACACTTGTTCAGAATTGTGGAGAAACAAAATCTGTTCAATGATTTGTTCATCAGTGCCTTAGCTGATCTCGCACAGCAGATATACCATAGCAGGGGCACCTTGGCATTTTTTTTAAGGAGGAATTCAAAACAGGGGCAATATTTTTAGGGCGCTGCTTAGGCCCAGGGAACTTATTTCCCGTAAGATACTAAATATTTACATTTTTTAGGTTCCCATTCTTTTTATAAATACCATTTTTTTGTGCTTCGTTGACTTTATTGGAACAAACTTGTATTCCATCTGCAGTTATTTAGACATACTATCTGGTTGGGATATTCTCAACCCTGATTACTGGGACCTCCAAGACTAAGTCCCGGAGATGGGGAGAAATACGTTGGGGGGGGGGGGGGGGGGGGGGGCAGTCATGGCCTTGATAGACTGAGCTGAGGCTGCTTTTACCTGTCTACCTCATGGCCGGAAAAGGCGTACGGCAGTCTGGAAACCCTCCTTTATTTATTTTAGGTACTTATATAGTGCCGTCAATTTATGCAGCTCTTTACATATATTGTACATTCACATCAGTCCCTAACCCTCAAGGGGCGTACAATCTAAGGTCCCTAACCCTCAAGGGGCGTACAATCTAAGGTCCCTAACCCTCAAGGGGCGTACAATCTAAGGTCCCTAACCCTCAAGGGGCGTACAATCTAAGGTCCCTAACCCTCAAGGGGCGTACAATCTAAGGTCCCTAACCCTCAAGGGGCGTACAATCTAAGGTCCCTAACCCTCAAGGGGCGTACAATCTAAGGTCCCTAACCCTCAAGGGGCGTACAATCTAAGGTCCCTAACCCTCAAGGGGCGTACAATCTAAGGTCCCTAACCCTCAAGGGGCGTACAATCTAAGGTCCCTAACCCTCAAGGGGCGTACAATCTAAGGTCCCTAACCCTCAAGGGGCGTACAATCTAAGGTCCCTAACCCTCAAGGGGCGTACAATCTAAGGTCCCTAACCCTCAAGGGGCGTACAATCTAAGGTCCCTAACCCTCAAGGGGCGTACAATCTAAGGTCCCTAACCCTCAAGGGGCGTACAATCTAAGGTCCCTAACCCTCAAGAGGCGTACAATCTAAGGTCCCTAACCCTCAAGGGGCGTACAATCTAAGGTCCCCAACCCTCAAGGGGCGTACAATCTAAGGTCCCTAACCCTCAAGGGGCATACAATCTAAGGTCCCTAACTTACATACATATACTAGGGCCAGTTTTAAACAGGATCCTATTAACCTACCAGCATGTGTGGGAGGAAACCGGAGTACCCAGAGGAAACCCACGCAGGCACAGGGAGAACATGCAAACTCCAGGCAGGAGATGGCATGGCTGGGATTTGAACCAATGACCCTAGTACTCCTTTCATTTTGCTTGCATGCTCTGGGTCTGGATGAACCTACCCCCAGCCTGCACTCTTGTCATTTCAATGGCATCCATCCTACTGGACACCAACAGAGTGGGGATCCCCAGGCAATAATCTAGGGTCACCCTGATTATCTGTAGTCCTACATATTTAAGATCCAGGTCTAACCTTCCTTCAAACTAGAAAAAAAAAATTTAAAATTTGAAAAAAAAAAATTAAATTAAAATGAATTGGGGAAATCAGAACTGTTTTGCCTAGAAAGGACCAATAGAATCTCTAACTATGTAATAAATTCACACCTTCCCTGGACATATTTCATGCTTTTGTGGCCATGAAAGTAACGACCTGTCATTTCAAGGGGTTTTTTTTTTTTTTTTTTTTTTTTTTTTCCACATTTGGATTTTTTTCTGTATATCCGCTATTGGCTAGATTAACTAAAGGCTGTTAAATATGCAATAATAATTGGTGTTACACAAAATATTACCACACAGTGTTTTTGTCGGCTTAACGACCGTTTCATTGTGAATTAGGTATGCGCTATAATCATGCGCTCCTGTCCTAATTTGCATTTGAATTTTATGCTCTAAGTTTACAATGCAGGTCTCCTGGAGCGCGGGGAGTATAATTGCTTTGAGAAATTGTTTGAACTTTTGGTGTGTTGAATATGTTTGTTTTAACTCTTTATCTTCAAGAGGTCATTAAAGGAGGGCTCCAGGCGCGCGTTCAAAGGGAAAACTCAATCGTTACAGCTTTAAGATAAATTTACACAATTTTAATTGCTTTTAAAAATTTTTCTTTTTATCCTCAGTGGAATAATATGGAATTTAATGAATAGTTGTATTCCACTAAATGGCCGTCATGTTGATAAACACTCTTTACTTTTAAGAACATTGACGAGAGGCTGTTACTGTAATTGTGATCTCTGGCATTCTAAAGCAGTCCATACATTATTATTATACAGGATTTATGGCGCCAACAGTTTTCTCAGCACTTTACAATATAATGGAAGACAATACAGTTCAATACAAGAGGGATAGGAGGGCCCTGATCCTGGGAGCTTACAATCTAGGAGGGAGGGGCTAGTAGTACAAAAGGTAGTAACTGTGGGGGATGGACTGGTTGGAAGAGTAGAGGATTCCATTATTCACTGAGGGCAGGATAGGCTTCCCTGAAGAAAGAGGTTTTCAGAGATCGCCTAAAGATCGATAAATTAGGGTAGATAGTTACAGAGGATGGGGGAAGCTCTGGAGAAGTCCTGGAGACGAGCATGGGAGGAGGAGGCAAGGGAGCTAGAGAGCGGGAGGTCGTGCGAAGAGTGGAGAGTACGGTTTTGGGTGATATTTGGAGACAAGATTGGTGATGTAATTTGGGGCGGAGTTATAAATGGCTTTATATGTTAGTGTTAATGTTTTGAATTTTATCCGTTGGGCAATGGGAAGCCAGTGGAGGGATTGGCAGAGACGGGTGGAGGACACTGAGTGGAGGCCAGTGGAGGGATTGGCAGAGACGGGTGAAGGACACTGAGTGGAGGCCAGTGGAGGGATTGGCAGAGAGGGATGGAGGACACTGAGTGGAGGCCAGTGGAGGGATTGGCAGAGGGGGATGGAGGACACTGAGTGGAGGCCAGTGGAGGGATTGGCAGAGATGGATGGAGGACACTGAGTGGAGGCCAGTGGAGGGATTGGCAGAGGGGGGTGGAGGACACTGAGTGGAGGCCAGTGGAGGGATTGGCAGAGGGGGGTGGAGGACACTGAGTGGAGGCCAGTGGAGGGATTGGCTGAGAGGGATGGAGGACACTGAGTGGAGGCCAGTGGAGGGATTGGCAGAGATGGATGGAGGACACTGAGTGGAGGCCAGTGGAGGGATTGGCAGAGGGGGGTGGAGGACACTGAGTGGAGGCCAGTGGAGGGATTGGCTGAGAGGGATGGAGGACACTGAGTGGAGGCCAGTGGAGGGATTGGCAGAGATGGATGGAGGACACTGAGTGGAGGCCAGTGGAGGGATTGGCAGAGAGGGGTGGAGGACACTGAGTGGAGGCCAGTGGAGGGATTGGCAGAGAGGGGTGGAGGACACTGAGTGGAGGTCAGTGGAGGGATTGGCAGAGAGGGGTGGAGGACACTGAGTGGAGGTCAGTGGAGGGATTGGCAGAGAGGGGTGGCAGATACAGAACGGTTAGTAAGGTGGATGAGTCTGGCAGCAGCATTCATGATGGACTGAAGAGGGGATAGCCTGCGATTATGCAATTTCTTCACAGGTGGAAGGAAAGAAAATTGTTTCATTCCCCCATCAACATAGTCAGTTTTGATGATGGGAATCCCTCCCGCAGGGCTATTGTGTTCTGCCAGCAGGGAGCCTTCCCTGCTGGCAGAACACAATGATCACTGCTGGTGCCGACAGACGCTGGCAGCGATCACATAAACAAATTCCAACAGACTGGTTGTACTTAAAGCGGAGTTCCACTCACACTCTAAAAAAACAAAATAAAAGTCAGCAGCTACAAAAACTGTAGCTGCTGACTTTTGAAAAACAGCTGCTCACCTGTCCCACGATCCCACGTTGCCCCCGCTGCAGCCCGTTTCACCGGCTGTCCTCTATTCCAGGCGCCGGCATCTTCAGTTTGGGCACCCGGCTGTGACGGCTTGCGGCTTCACAGTTGGGTGCCCACTGCGCATGCGCGAGTAGCGCTGCTCTTGAATGGCCCCGTCGTCTTCTGGGACTTGTCACATGTCCCAGAAGACTTCGGGGAGGGAGGGTAGGAGGACAACTTCCGTTTCTGATCGCCTAGGCGATCGCAGCAGAAGTGGGACCCCCCCAAGGTGCCAATCCTTAATGGACCAATCTTTAAAGCGGAACTTCCCATTTTGGGTGGAACTCCGCTTTAAAAGGAGGCCCTGACGTATGCTAATCATTGGATGTTCTTCTCCACCCCCCCGACCTGTATTTCTGCTTGTTATCTGATTTCCCTTTGCTGACCCGGTCTGCTCCTGACCTTGCCTTGGACTCTGAGCCCAGTTTGCCTCGGGCTATGCTCTGCTCTCTTCCTGGTACGGACTACTTGCTCCTTGAGTATGACCCCCACCTTAGCTCATGTGCTTGCTGCCCATCCGTACTGACCCTGGCTTGCCATCTGACCACATCCTTGACTTTGATGAGTACCCTTTTCCTGCCTATGACCAAGTGCCCTTGCAGTCTCTGTACCGAGCTCCAAAGTCCAATTTCTTGGGTGTCATCCTCGGACCTTTTCTGGTTTGCCTCCATCACTGCTGACTGCAGTCCAGAGACTACTGCTGCCTGCTATCTGATACCAGCACCCGTGCTACTTTGTGTCCATCCCTCCACTCTCAGGAGTAGTCGAAGCTGCAAGGGGAAAGTCCTCTTGTCCTCCAACGAATATTATGTACGAATATTGGTTTTTACGACATAATCTAAATAGCAGAATATCAGATTAAACCCAAGCAGCTGAATGAGTCAGGAAACAGCACACACCCCCTCCCTCTCTGCTAGCAGAGATGGGGCCCATCTATATGCAGAAAACAGTCGGCAAGTGCAAACCTAGTGCTGGGCTTTCCTATTGGCACGTGAGAAATTGTAAGAACATCACTGAAGTGAGTGATATGATGGTACCGCATCAAAGGGACCAAGTGAAAATTGAAGGTCAAAAATTGAAAGTACATGCCATAAAATTTCCTCATTAAATGACTGTCGAATTATGTATTTAACGCATATAATTAAACAAATTTATGTAAACTGAAGAAAATACGAGACAAATCTTTTGCTTGGACTGCATGGACGATCGCTTGATGCTCCCAAGAATTTTGAGATTTATTGACCTAATGGAGTAGCTGTTGCTATTTGGTCATGGCCAGGATGGGAGAGCCAGCTATCTCGTGATTACCCCCCCCCCCCCCCCCCACGTTCCCTAGCTTCTCTATCCCCTCCCCCTCCCCTTTATTCAACCTTGAATGTGCTTTTACCCCCTTCTTTCTCTTTTCTTTACCTTCCCTTTTACCTTGTAATTATGATGGATATATTCTAATTTATTATTGCCATCATACTACAGTGAAACCCTATTATTCTACTTCATGTTAACAATGTTGTAAATATTAGCCCCCCCCCCCCATCCCCAATTACCATTTTCATCCCTCAGGGCTACATTTCCATATTGGTATTTGCTACCTGAAAGAAACATTTTTCTCTTTCTCTTTTCTGTCTGATCAAAATAATGCCACAAACTATTGTTCTTTTGTACTGTAGATATATATATTCAAGATTTTGCCATTGACGGTACCATGTATGACCTTGTTGGATATATGGCTATGTCTTCATATAAAACCAATAAAATAAGATTTGAATAAAAATGCAATCATCCAAAAACCATAATGGCCTTCTCTAAATGTATCATTATTGTTGGTAATAGTAGTACTATTCAGGCTTCCATCATTTGCTCCCTTATTTATCTACAGTGGGGATCGAAAGTTTGGGCACCCCTGCTAAAATTTTGTATTAATGTGCATAAAGAAGCCAAGGAAAGATGGAAAAATCTCCAAAAGGTATCAAATTACAGATTAGACATTCTTATAATATGTCAACAAAAGTTAGATTTTATTTCCATCATTTACACTTTCAAAATAACAGAAAACAAAAAAAATGGCGTCTGCAAAAGTTTGGGCACCCTGCAGAGTTAATATCTTGTACTGTCCCCTTTGGCAAGTATCACAGCTTGTAAACGCTTTTTGTAGCCAGCCAAGAGTCTTTCAATTCTTGTTTGAGGTATCTTTGCCCATTCTTCCTTACAAAAGTCTTCCAGTTCTTTGAGATTTCTGGGCTGTCTGTCACGCACGGCTCTTTTAAGGTCTATCCATAGATTTTCAATTATGTTGAGGTCAGGAGATTGTGAAGGCCATGGCAAAAGCTTCAGTTTACGCCTCTTGATGTAATCCCCCGTGGACTTCAAGGTGTGTTTAGGATCATTATCCATTTGTAGAAGCCATCCTCTCTTTAACTTCAGCTTTTCACAGATGGCATCAAGTTACCATCCAAAATTTGCTGAAATTTTATTGAATCCATTTTTCCTTCTACTCGTGAGATGTTCCCTGTGCCACTGGCTGCAACACAACCCCAAAGCATGATTGATCCAACCCCATGCTTAACAGTTGGACAGAGGTTCTTTTCATTAAATTCTGTGGCCCTTCTTCTCCAAACGTACCTTTGCTCATTCCGGCCAAAAAGTTCAATTTTAACCTCATCGGTCCACAGAACTTGTTTCCAAAATGCATCAGGCTTGTCTATATGTTCATTTGCAAAGTTCAAACGATGATTTTTGTGGTGAGGACGTAGAAGAGGTTTTCTTCTGATGACTCTTCCATGAAGACCATATTTGTACAAGTATCTCTTTATAGTGGAATAGTGACCACAACTCCAGTGTCTGCCAGATCTTTCTGGAGGGATCGTGCAGTCAAACGTGGGTTTTGAATTGTTTTTCTCACAATCCTGCGAGCTGTTCTGTCTGATATTTTTCTTGGTCTTCCAGATCTTGCTTTAACTTCCACTGTTCCTGATGACTGCCATTTCTTAATTACATTCCGAACAGAGGATATTGACATCTGAAAATGCTTTGCTATCTTCTTATAGCCTTCTCCAGCTTTGTGAGCGTCAACTATTTTCAGTTTCAGTTTTCTAGACAACTGCTTAGAAGAACCCATGGTGCTGATTGTTGGGGCAAGGTCAGATGAGTCTGGGCATTTAAAACCTTTGAGATTGACATCACATGGTCTTCCCAGACGATGATTGAGAACAATCCATGACACTGGCAGGTCTCAGCTTTGCAAAGGGGGCAGTGCATGCTAAAAAATTCTGCAGGGTGCCCAAACCTTTGCAGACGCCATTTTTTTGTTTTCTGTTATTTTGAAAGTGTAAATGATGGAAATAAAATCTAACTTTTGTTGACATATTATAAGAATGTCTAATCTGTAATTTGATGCCTTTTGGAGATTTTTCCATCTTTCCTTGGCTTCTTTATGCACATTAATACAAATTTTTAGCTGGGGTGCCCAAACTTTCGATCCCCACTGTATGTATGCTTTTGTTGGGCCTGAATCTGAGGCCTCTCACCCCTGATAACCGCATGAATCTCATGCCGATAACCATGAGGTCAACTTGAGACCCAAAGTGAACTTCTCACCTTTTATCTTTCTGAGCAAAATGTCAGGCTCATAGTAAGGAAAGCCATTTACATAGATAGGGGACTCCAAACTGTGGCCCACTGCAAGATTTTACCCCCGATGCCTAATAGTTATACGCATTAAGTATCACATCCAGAGAGGCTCCACTCTTTTCCACCAGTCCATGTGTGTATGTGCGCGCAAGAGAGCAGCCAGAGGGGTGCATGTTTGCGCTGGAATAGGCAGAGATACAAGCCTGAGGGCCAGAGCAGCAAGGGTCTGCTAGCTATGCAGACAGTATTGGAGTATTTATTTGCAGAGCCCGTT